GTGGGGTTAGTTGTTAAACGGTGTTACAACTAAGCTGCCTTTAGTAAGCAAATACAATTTTTTTGTTCCACATGTTTACACAGATTTTAAAATGAAAAAGAGAGAAAAGCTTTGAAAACAGGGCTTTACTTCTACTTTATTAGTGCCTCAAGTTCACACGTCAACATTTTGGTATTAAAAATTATATTAATGAAATGAACATTAACAGTTGGTAAAGCTGTAGTTATTCAGAAATAATGTTCCATATTTTACTGATATGGGATGTTTTTTATTTGCTGTCCTTCACTGGATAAAACATAGATTTGTCATTGTTTGACACACAGTCTCATATCAGTTTTCATGCACAATTTGATGTGTGTGTCTATCTCTCAGTTAAGCTGTCTGTCTTATAGATACATAATGTATAATGCAGTTTGGTTGGAAAATATATTTGTTTCTTACAATAGAATTATGTTGAATTAACTTTGTTTGCACTGATTCATCAGACTTTTCTACCAAGTGTTAAACTTACCCTCTGTCTGTTACAGTTAACCCACCTATAGGGTATATTGTAACATTGCACTTCCGGTCATTTTCAGTGGAACTGTAGATGAACATTAGGCACTAGAAACAAGTTCAAGTGTTAGTTTATAGCAGAGATGTGTATCACTGCTGTCGGAACCAAACCTTGTATCTCCATTTTTGTTGTTTTTCAGTGTTTAACATAATTTGAAAATGCCTGTTGCCCTTTACATTGTGTGTAAAATGTCTGGTTCCACTGACTTACATTAAAAGTAAAGTATGTTTTTTTCTTCTTCTGTAAAATTAGCATTTTGGAGATACGAGATTTTCTTCAGACAACACTGATATGTTGCTTGTATAAAAACATGATTATTCCAACTTAAATATTTTTAAGATTATTTGTGACCCGTTCTCCACTTTTTATTGTCAACATCTCAGCAAATGGAAAAATCTTAAATCTTGTCAATATATCTAATATTTCTAGAGGTTTGTTTCTTATTTTAAATTGTCCATGTACTGCATTTTTCTTTCATTGTTTATTGTATTCCTCCTGAAGTTGACCTATAAGTATTGTATGGTCAAAAACATTCAAATTAGACTTGAACAGGCTATTTTTGTTTACTGGGTCTTTAGGGCTAAATGTGTCTATGATCTCTATTCTGATTGGCTGAATTGTTATGAATTGTATCTTGTTCAAAAAACAGTCCAGACTGAAACACTGTGTATAACTTCATTGTGAATAAAGCTCCAACTATAATAGACAAATAAAAAGAAATAGTTACACCAAAATTTGCAGAAAAACAGTATAAAATTCAAAAAGTCAAAATTACAAATAAAAAAAATAGTAAAGATAATATAATGTCATTCTAGTTTACATTGTGGGGCATGTAGTGGTTATATAATACTGCTTGGTCACTTTACAAGTTATTGCTTAACATCAGAGATCTGAGGACATTTTGACGTGTGCAAAAGTCACTGCACTTCAATCAAAGATCACAAGAAAACAAATATTGTTTATTTTAAATGAAATGCTATTGTCTGATAAATTGTATCTAATATGACCAGTTTTGATTTCAGACTAACTGTAAATAATCACAGTCAGGGGTGTTCAAACTTTTTTCAAAAAGGGGCCAGTTTGTACTGTGTCAAAATATCAGAGGGCCAAAATATTACTCACAAATGATTCAACATATTATGTTTTCAGTAATCAGTACATAGACTAAGCTTTCTGTGAGCTGCTGTGTCTCCTATCACTGTATAAAAGATGCATGAGGCTTCTTTTATTGTTGAATTGCTCAAAGCGATTCTAATTGCTAAGCACTTACAACAAATAATTAAATTGTTTAAGAGTATCAGCAAAACATGTCTAATGTATTAAATATATTCCTGTTCTTATCCTATATATAATTTGTGCGACAAGCTAAACAAAAATCAATCATTTTTCAGTTTTGTTCTGTATTGTTCTTTAAATATCAAATAAATGCAGCAATTGCATTCAGAAATGATAAGACGTTGGTGCAGCCGCTTTTAGAAGCCAGGGACCAAGTAAAATCTGTGCACAGGTCACATTTAGCCCTGGGCTGGACATCTATCAAAGAAATATTCTCAGGATTTTCAAGTCAATTGTTTTTCTTGTGCTTTCATCTGCTTATTGAATGTTTTGCTCCTAAATTGGCCTGAGTGGTCTGAAGAAGCCAATAAGAATCTAAGACTTAGCCTGAGGTCATCAGAGCATTCATACACAGCCCTCCACACACACGCACTCTTGGCCTAATCTCAGCACTGTGACTCTCACATGATGCAGGAATGCCCGCGCTCTCAGCTACACACTCTGCACACTGCTGCTGGTTGGGGTGAGGGGGGCCTCACTGCAGCACTCTCTTCCTCTCTGCTTCTCACTTGCCTCTGGAGTCAACTGGCATCCCACACTGACCATTCAAGTGGCCATCCAGAGTCCTCGTCCAGCAATATGAGATGAGCCGCTTTTCACTTTCAAGGAGATTTCCTTTCTTCTGGGAGCGGAGGGCAAACGTACAAGATGAAGAGACCAGACCCCTCGTACCAAAGGTAATGCAGCATTACCACATAGCAGCCCTCAAGAGCTTTATGTATCACACACAACAGAAAGCTGTTTAGATCTCGCCATTTTTCTCTGAGAACTGCAAAAGTGCAGGAACAACAATAATAAAAGACCTTTATAAACAGTAACTTTATTATCCGATAGCTTGTTAATGATAGTTAATAATTATATAATTGATACAATTTGACATTTTGTTTGCTTAGTTGTATACAAACATAAATACCACTATTAACCATTATGAAAAACTACTAGTTGCCTGTATATTGTTTTAAAACCCCATCAAAGCTTTCCATAAATAAAATGTAATAAAATTTAAATGTAATAAAATATATATTTATAAATAAATTAAGTTCAGATGATTTATAATTTAAAGAATAGATTTTGTCACTCATATAAACTTTATAACAGAGATGCAATTAGCGCTTATGTTTTAAAATTTCACATATTAGTTATGTACATATTATTGTTATGAAATAATAATAATAATAATAATAATAATAGTAATAGTAATAATAAGATAAATAATAATAAATATTTATTATTAAATGATAATTTTACATATTATCATTTAATAATAACAAACTACGAATTAAGGAAAGGTTTATGCATTGCAAATTAGCAAAGTCATAAAAACCTACTTAATCATTTAAATGACAATGCAGACAATTACTTATACATCATAGATGTGCCAATAAGTAAATGCTTAATATTTCAATTTGTTCAAAGTAATCAAATAGCTAAATATGTATTTCCAAACTGCTGTTTAAATGTTTACATTTCTGAATAGTGATTATGTTTTTGTACATCAGTAAGTAAAAAAAATATATTTTTATTAGTTAAATTTCGTTTAACTGGGTAAAAATTCAATTAGTAGCATTTGGTAATACACAACCAATCAATAACAAAAACAAACTGCTATAATAATTACATTGCTGTTTATTAGGCTTGTTATCATGAATTCTTACTAGAACATCTGATGACTGATGGAAGTCGTCAGATGTGAAAGTTAATCACACTCCAGCACTTTAGGCAGAGCTTCCTTGCATTATTTCTGTTAATAAGCTTTTATTCCTTTTTGTTATGTATATATGTATATTGGCAAATCTGCCAAGCAACACTGTTGAGTGTCATTTTGAAGCAGTGTTAAACGTGTGGAACACACTTGAGTGTTACTTAACACGATTCATTGTCTAGCTAACTCTAGAAACTCAACACTAAGATCAGTGTACTTTTACTTTCTGTGGAGTGAGCCCATAAATGCTCCAAAGCAGTGTGAACCTCTTAAAAATCCAGGCTTATTACATACTAAGGCTTACTATTCAATATCTACAGGGACTTCAATGCAAACTGGCTGAGCTATTCTTAGGTTATAGAAGTGTGTAACAAAACTTTGGACCCACCAGTCAGCCCTGGCCCTTTAATGGGTTAAAATGAGTTGTTGAATGAACACTACCATGACTGTGTATGCTAACCCTTCTGGAGTTTTAATCACCCTTGGGCCAAATGACTTTCTATATGCGTTCATATTTTGATGAACAGGTAGCTGAGTGTTGCAAAACATACCAAAAGTATTAATAGTCCCTTAAAGAATTATTAAAAGGACCCTTATTATGGAAAACCATGTTTTTCTCACTTTTTGAAATAGTTTGATGTGGTATGTGGGCACTGTTAAAGATTTTAAATGTTCCATTCACTCCCCCAGTCCATACAGTCCATTTATCAACGCTGTCCAATGAAAAACAAGTATCTCCATTTTTTTCCTGATATTTATATTGCTACATCATTTAAGTGGCTGCTACATTGTGTGAGAAGTGCTTAAAAATTGCTTGGAAAAAAGTCTCTGTTCATTAACTTACACTGAAAGTAAAGAGTGTTTTTACCCTCTCCTGTAAACTTACTATTTTGGAGATACTTGTTTTTCTCTGAACAACCACATGGAAACTTGTTGTTGTCACAGAAAACTAAGCATTTACATATATCCAGCCTATAGCTGTTTAGCTCCGCCCATTCACACTGAAGTTATAAGGAGTGTTTCAGCCCAGACTGCTTTTAGAATGAAGCATAAACAAGGTAGCAAATCAGAACAGAGCTCATTTACATATATCACTCTTCAAGGCTCAGTGACAAAAACAACCTGTTTAATTCTAAGGCATAAAGAAAGGTACGAAAACGGTAAAGTAAAAATGAATTAGAGCTGTCTTTGGTACATAAACACATACTAGCATTTTATTTAATGAATGAAAATTTCACATTGTTTATGCCACCAAGGAGACCCCTCAGACATGTCCTGCCTCATCGGTTACATACCTGGGCACGGACAACAGCTCTGAGAGCAAGACAGACTCAAGCTCGTCCAGCCATGAAGAACGAAGCACGATGTTCCTCAGGCCGCAAACCCGTACCATCTCCAGCCTGACTGACTACCTGCTGAAATGTGTCCTCTTCACCAGTAACCTGCTCTTCACTGTGTTGGGTCTGGCCACACTGGGGCTCGGACTCTGGGGCCTTTTCAACAAAGAATCCTTTGCCCAGGAGAAACTGGGCAGCATCGGCACTGACCCCATGCTGCTCTTTGTCTTCCTGGGCTTGGTGTTGTCACTGCTGTGCCTGACAGGCTGCGTGGGGGCCGTGCGGGAAAACTACTGCCTTCTTCGCACCTTCTCGGTTGTCCTGTTGTTCCTGGTGGCCGCCCAAGTACTGGCGGCCATTGTGGCCTACAGCCTGCAGGGCCAGATTGCCAACCTGCTGCGCACAGGCATGCTGAATGCTATGGTGCGCTACCAAGACGACCTGGATCTGAGGTTCATCACGGACGAGATCCAAACAGGGTTACAGTGCTGCGGGGCGGATAACTATCGAGACTGGCAGATCAACAGGTAAGGGCACAGTTGATATGTTCAAAATTGACCCCAAATCTAGGATCAGCTGCAGCCCTGACCTACTGCCCAGCACCTTTAGAAGTAGCAAATGTCACCAGCACTAATAAAATCATGATGGAATTATGGCATGAAAAAGGTTTATGGACCATTCATTGAAATAAATGTTTGGTTTGACATTTTGACACAGTCCATTTTGTAGTAAAAGAACCTTGTAAGCACCAAATTTGCAGATCACTGACAATCATGTTTTTTTATCTTTGGAAATAAGTAAAAAAATGGTGTTGGGTTGTACCTCACACATTCAGGAATGATGCAGAGATCATAATGATTTTAATTGGAAATAAAACAATGTAAACACAAAAAATATAAGTAAGTAAATATTATTTCCCCATTGATTTGGGTAGGCCTGCAACCTAGGTAAGCTCAGTCCCACTCAGACCTACCTATGACTATAGCTATGCCCAGAACCTAAATCTAGCAGCAACCTTAACTTCAACCCAGAACTAAACCTAACCTTAAACAGTGCATAATCAAGCACTGTTACCAGATAGCCAGATAGTCTGTTAGCAATAAAAGGGGGACTCAAAATACAGTGTGACCAAAGTTTCAGACATAGCCAGACTGAAAATAGAGAGAACATAATAGAACAGACTTAATGCCCTGTTAGTTGCATTAAGTATTGCAAGAATGCAAAAGCAGCTTGTTTAAGTCTAAGGGATAAAGAAAAGTTAAAATGGTTAAAATGATTAATGTGAAAATTGATTACAAAAATCGAAAAAAAAATGGCCCTTAAAATGAATAAAAAAAGGAAACAAAACAAAGAAATTTAAATTAACATCCAAAATGCCTCATATGTCAGAAATGGTGATGAAAGACTGAGGCTGATAATGTGACAAAATGTAAAAAATAGATAATTAGAGGATGTTATTTATGATTATTTATGATTTAATAACTTTTTGTTGAAGTACTTGAAATATTTAATAAACCATTGCTGTCTTGTTGATCATTGTATACGTTGTATGTTACTGTTGTGTATAAAATAACAAAAACTCTTACTATGACAGTTGATTCCAAACTTTTGAATACTGGCATCCTGATAGACAGCATAATGTAAACTTGCATTGCAATCAGCTTGGTGCCTTTCAGCGGTCTCTCTCTCTCTCTCTCTGTCACAGCTATTTTAACTGCTCAGCTCCAGGAATTCAGGCCTGCAGTGTGCCGCCTTCATGCTGTGTGGACCCTCTGGAGAATGGCACAGTGTGGAACTCTCAGTGTGGAGTCGGGGCTCAGCTGCTGGACGAGTTCTCAGCCCAGAGCGTTATATTCCTGGGGGGCTGCCTGGGCAGTATCTCCCGCTGGATTGAGCAGCACTCCGGCCTCATAGGCACGGTGGCAATCGTCCTACTGGGAGTCCAGCTCATCATGTTGATTATTACTACACGCCTGCTGGACAGTATTCAGTGGAATAGAGCACAAGCACAGCAAAGAACAGTCAGAAGCTAATGCTCCTGATACTGATGAGAGTATTAGGTGACTACTGTACCATACTATGTACAGACACCTTCTGACTTTATTGTGCATTTGTACAGTCCTTGTCAACTTGTCGAAAAAAATCATAACTGATACATTTGTCCCATGAACAACATATATATATCCAGTGAAATGGACCAATGACATCACTCGCTGCAGTAAAAGACAGCCTGGACTGCTGTGATCAGGGAATCTAAAGGCAGCCTACCAGAGAACATACTGGCTGGTGATAATTCATAACTCATAAACTCAGATAGCATAGAACTTAACAGAGTTTATTTATACTCGTATTTACAACTTTCTTAGCCATATGATTGCAACTGCCTTGTGGTTCACTTTATAATGCCTGCCTGAAAGCACTATTACTTCAAAAACATGAGACTGTTTTCCATTTCAGGACACCCCACCACTGTGACAATGGCTGTCTGTTATGGTCTTTGTAGGTTTTCAAGGCAGGAGAAAATTATTATTTCTCATGTCCCGGTAGCCCAGTGTTTGCTTAGCATAAGTTGATGCCCATAGAACACATTATGTAAAAGTCTTGTTTTGTTCATTGGGCTTATCACCAATGTGCAAGTGCTGTTAAAGGGAAGTACCACTGCTTTTTCAACTGCTCACATGTTGTCACTATGACTCCACTATTATAGTCCTCCTCTTCTTTTTGTCCAGCTTTTAAATGGCAAAAGGTTCCAACAATGGCTGTCTTGGTAAAACCAAGCTACTGCCATTGTAAATTTGTTTATTGAAGGACACTGAGTGACACAGCGCTGAGGCCAGTTATAAGTTAGGGCTGGAGGATGCTTTCAGGAGACCGCACTCCTGGGAGAACTACAAATGAATCAACAAGATGTAACATAGCTGTATAGGAGTGAGAGGCTACATTTAAGGAGGAGCTGGAACCATGGATTCTATATATGATATATGCCCTCATTTGTTGAAACATGCAGCCACTGCTTCTCTCACTGGATACAAGTGACAAAAACTAGAAACCTTGTTCACTTTATAGAAATCACATGATGGTTATGTGAACCCTGAAATCACATGATAAAAATAAGGTTATTGAAAGTAATAAATACTTATTATTATTGATTATTGATTATTTTTCATAACAAAATGCAAACTGCTTTTTAAATGTAAAAAAAACTTTCTTTAGGGCTAAATGTGAGCAAATAAGACAAACTGATTAATCAAGATGAACTACACAAAATAATGTGATTAGTCACAATTAATTATTTTAATCATTTGACAGCCCAAAAATATAGCCATTTTATTTACTATCCAAACTGACCAGTCAATCTACCTATAGTTTATATATATAATGATAATAATGGGTGCTATTTTGCATTTCAGCACTCTGCATGTATGTGTCTGCAATTTGAAAAAATAGTTTTAGCGAAAACATTGTCTCAAACCGTTATAAAACAATCTTGCAATGCATTTGTAACTCGTTTGTGTGATAACTCTGCGAGTGGGCTTTTTGACTTCAGACGTCTGGTTCCTATCACCACCACGGTGAACAATTCTGACTCACTAAGTTTCTCCACAATGAAATATTTCACATCAAACCACTCTGAATGACTTTACATCTTATTGCTTTAGTTAAGCAGCAATGTTGAAAAAAAAAAAGATTGTTATTCCCCTTTAACTTGCACCGACTATATATTTATTCTATTACCTTCATAGCAAGCAAGGGAATAATCCTAGCTGCTCCCCGATAGTACTTTCCCATTACAGTTTTAGACGTGTGTTAAATGTTGTAGATAGTTTCACACACCCATGTTACGGTTTCAGAATCAGAACTGAAGAACCACTCAGATGAGCTTACTTGACAAGAACCAACAATTCAAGCTTTATGTTTTGTGCTCAAGTCATTCCAGTGCTGCTGAGAGTTGTGGTGGGCTGAGCATCACCCAGGGACCCCTTCTGCTCTTCCTCCCGTGCAGAAGCATCATAAGGCCTGTAAACTGAGCTAAACTCCATCGCCGAGCCGCTCCCAGTTCACGCTCCAGCAGCAGATGCACCACAGTCACAACCACAGCACTCAACTGATTCCAGACAAGACGCGTATGACAGCTTGAAGACTCAGAAAAAGACTTGGTCCCACTTTATATTAAGTGTCTCTAACTGTGTAGATACATGTAAACAACATATGCTACAACAATGTAACTACTAATGATTTAGTCACTGTTACAGATGGATTACAGAAGTACACCTTAAGTAATTATACATGTGCATCAACAAGTGTATCTTAATAGTTGTAACAACCTATTCACTCTCGTGTAATTACACAATGGTAATAACACAAATGTATTTACATTTGTAATCAGACTGGAACAGCATTTTTTCCAGCAGTAAAAGCAAGTATGTAATAACTTTACATTACTTACACTGTATCTGCCAACTTTCCTAACATTTAGCTAGCAAATATGTTGCTAGTGCTGTGACATTGTAACCAGTTTCAGCTTTAAACCATTCTGTAATGTGACAGTACAGCAGATAACCACTTATCTTAAAATGCAACTTTTATGATATTAACTAAATGTGTTGCATTACCCCCCAAAGCACTGTCTGTATTACCACTCCATTATTACACAGTACATACATAACAACTACACAGGTACTGTCCACTTATTATAAAGTGTAACTTTAACACTACACTAGAGGAAGGTTCCTGGGTAGTTGTTATATAGGTACAGTGTAATTACAGATTGGTATTAATTAATGTGATGTGATTAGGTTACCTTGTTACAACACAGTTATTCCGCAGTAATTATGTAAAACATAAATGTAATGTTATGTAAAACATTCTTCCTTTAACTGCTGGGAAATACTTCTGATCTGTAGTGTATCAAAAATATACACTTGTGTAATTATATGAGGCAAAACTGAAGTTGATCCACATGTGTAATTTCATAGGCTCCACTTCTGTAATCCATCTGCAACATTGGCTAAATCTTCAGTAGTTACATTGTTGTTGCACATGTTATTCATGTGTAACTACGCAGTTATTAGACACACAATATAAAGTGGGACCAAAGACTTCTACTGTATAAAAAGATTCATGAAGCAAATGTATTGGGGACTGTTACTACATTTATAAAATAAACAAGGTTTACCTTACAGGCTGCCTCTTCAAAGCAAAAGAGAGGGCACATGAGATGCATTTAAAATGCTAGATTAGGTATAAAATGAAGAGGTCTATCTCTATCAAGCTTTAACCCCGGAATTATTAGATATGAAGGCTTATTATTCAGTAACTACAGGGACTTCAACACAAACTATGAGCTATTCTTAGGTTCTAGAAGTGTGTAATAAAACGTTGGGCCTGCCCGTGGGCCCTGGACTGTGTTCACGATCTGAGGTAGTTTAACTGATATACAACAGAAGTACATCATTTGCTAATTTATAAATAGTACTCTCAACTGACAATAGATAAACAAAGATCAGCCAAATTGCTATCACATAAATGGCAATAATATTTTGTGTTTTCCCTTTTTAGTGTTCTTGGTGATAAAACTTTATGTTGTGATCAAGTCAGATTGACATCCACTGGTTACTGGCAGACTGAGGAGCGACACTCTGTGTAGCGGAGGAGGTTACGATGGTCAGATGATGCCATACTGAGCCAGTTCATGCAGCTCCAGATGACTGAAAGCTTCCCATGGGCAGATCACTGTAATATCTGTGGACGACAACAACATCTGCACTGAACACTCCTCTCACATCTTGCGTATGGCTGCACATCTTCTTTACATGACCACTAGTTTAAGGAGTGGAGGAAAAATAGGAATGTATTTTTATACTGAAAGGTGACATACCAATTCCCAAACCCTCCATTCCGGGAATTTCGTTGCCAAATCTGAGAATGACAGACAAGGACATTGGGATGGATTAACATAACTGTATATAGAGAGGAACTGAATTACTTTATATAAATACATAGATGAGTATTGCAATGTGTCAAAAACAATTATATCTTATATATAGTCAAATGCAAAAGTTTGGGCACCCTTGTCATATGAAATGTTTTGCTAATTTTCTGAGTGTGAATAAGTTAACACATCCTCAACAGAGAACACACTTCTGCACATTTTAATGTTACTGTTTATTTATACACATGAGAGAAAAAAAAAACATAAAATGTGGCCCATGCAAAAGTTATGGCACATGTTATACATGTTAAACTCAAATAAATAGTAATTTGGTTGTTCTCTATAGTGGATGAGATGACTTATTTTCACTTAGAAAATGTGAATAAGTGATATATTTTGACAAAATGATAATAATAATAATATAATAATAATATAATGTTCAATCTACAGTCCACTTATCTGTCCTAAGATTTCATCATTTAATCACTATTTTTGAAATATGAGGTAAATTAATTTTTTTTTTAACTTTATTCTTGATGCTATACAGCTTTCTCAGTAATTTTAGAACCTTCTATGGCTCTGTTTATCATTCTAGTTAATATTTACAATTTCTTGATTTTGTTCATTGTTTCCCTTTTTTTACAGCTTTCTACAAATTATTAGAAACTTATGAAGTGGCACAGTACTATCACCATGTTGGAATTATCTTCAACAAACTTTGAACAGTGATTCTATACTTTGCACTGCAAAAACTGATATTTTGGCAAATGAAATCATCTCACATCACATCAATATATCTAATATGTATCATCATGTGATTGTTGTAAGCACATTAAAAGATTATTAGGCTTATATTTAGACATTTTTTAACCATTTTATTTAGTGAAATTGGTTTATTCTATCAGCAGATAATTATGCTTGTTTTAAGCATTATTTCTCAAAGTAAGCAGCAATATCTAACAACAGAATGAGACAATTTCTCTAGATAACTCAAAACAACTAAACAACATCCATAAATAAGTTGAATGATCTTATAATATTCTTATAATAAACTCAGAATAAGAAAATATTGAATATACTGACTAAATTTAAGATGTTTTCACTCACCAAGATGATAATTTTTTGCAGTGTGGAATGGTAGTGGATATATTAAAAACACTTCAGTATCATGACTTACCCAATGACTCCTCTCTTGGGGGGCTTGCTTTTGAACTGGCGGGTAGACCTCTGCTTAAAGCGCAGTGGGCCGTTGCGTGGAGAACCAGGTGCAGTGGCCCTCGTGGCTGTCTTGCTGCCAGTCTTGGGTTCAGGCTTGGACACCTCCAGATTCATGGCTTCGGAGTGTGTTTGGTAGCTTGAGGGTGAAATTGATGGAGCACCCACTGGACTGTTCACATGCAAAGACCTGCAGGAGATTAAGGTTAAGGGGATGAGGCCAAGGTCAAAGACAGATTTAGCCTGACCTGTGAATAACCTATAGAACGCTGTGCATCATGATTTTATAAAAGTTAAGCCTTTGAAGCTACATTTTGGTAGATTTCTGTAAAGGTTATTCAAGAACCCAAGATATTTTGTTACTTTGATTTGGTTATTTTCGACATACTTTGGAATATTAATATTTTGATAACTATTTCTCAAGGAGTTTTAATCTCCAGTGCCACGTCTGGCCTATTTTACTGCTATATAAGCTTTGGAATTTGCTTTAAAATATCTTGATTATAACTTTTCATTCTTGACATGCCCAATAGCCATTCTGAGATACAATTACTGAACCACATTTATCCTCCTACGACATGATTATCTGCGCTAGTCTACATGACTCATGGCCTTCACACCAGATTCCAGGGCTGCAATAAAGCACAGAGTCCTTGTAATCCCCTTCTCAAGTGATCCTGCAGTCCTCAAGTCTGATAGTGAGCAGGATTCAAATTAATCTCATTACAGCAAGGACAATGCACGATATGCTGATTTTAATGGTGCTAAAGCACATCAGCTCATCGGCTAATGCAAACTGGGAGCATGTTTTGAGCATCTGATAAGAGACCTCAGTACAGTTCTGGTTTTGTCACATAGATGAGATATAAACTAATATATACAAGGAAGGCATAGTGCCAACAACTGATGCTGTATACTGAATGAAAAACTGCCACAGCTGTATTTAGCCATTCTGCTGGACACTAGAGGGCTTTTTGAGTAATGACACAGAAGAACCACTTTTGGTTCCCTAAAGAACCATGTTTGAAAGATATTTGTAAGTAAGAAGAATGATTTAAAGAACCTTCACATCATTTAAAAGCTACATACTAATCTAAGGGTTCTTCATAGAGCGTTTACATTATATTGAGATTCTATAAACTTTAAAAAAGGGTCTTCACACTCACACACCATTTACAAAAAATGTCTCTCCAAAGAATCAGTCATTGGAACGTTTTGTAGGGAACCAGTATTGGTGTCAACTATAAGGTATTTATCATTTGCTATGCGCTTCAGCATATTTTGAAGGAGTTTCCTCTCTGGTAAATGTTTACTATACAATGTATGTAAGGTTCTATGTACAATTCCATTTTGCGTAATTTAAAAAAAGGCAAGCTAAGCAGAACAAAACAGTCCAATTAAAATAAGCAATATCAGGTTAGACATTCTTGTCTAGAGCACCAGCACTAATAAAGGTTTATTACCTTCATCAGTACAAACTTAAATGGCCTAAATAGCTAACTTTAAATCTGATACTTGGAAAACCTTCTGACAGTGTAACATTTTATCGGTATCACCCAACACTAGGCCATTACATTTCACCAATTTAAAATATGTTGTCTGGTCCCAAATCTCAAAACACTTCCAAGAATGCAAACTATAGGCCGAGTTTTTAGTTACAAAGTGTAATGTACGGGCTCCAGCTGAGCACCAATGTGCCATTGTCCAATCTGTTTTTCCTCAGAAATAACTATTTGTATCTTCTACCCACCCCATGGCCCCAGACCACCAAAACTACACAACTTACCTGCTTGTCTGTTCCCTTTGTTCTGCTTTATATGTTGTTTACTAGTTGTGAATTGTGAATCGCTGGACAGCCTTTTTATAGTCTGCAGAAAGGTAAGGGGCTTACAGGTGAATCTCATGTCTGACCCAAGCGCCCCCCCCCCCTTCTACTTAGTGTCAGTGTCACCTGAAACAATTAGGGGCTACATGTGGTCATTGACATTTGTACAGATTTATGAGGGGCTCAGCTCGTCCTGTTTTCCATCAGTGATGCACGTCTCAGAGAGAGGGATGACTGGCCATTAGGATGCGCTCTTCTTTGGTGTTCCTCTCAGTGTTTCTTCCTCTGGCTGTCAGCTGTCCTGCCACTGTTATACTTGGCTTGCTCATCAGCACTATATGTATGTGTATATATAATATATGTATTTAGACAAGAGATGAAGTACATACAGGTGCAGGTCTCAATCAGTGGAAACTGTGAGGACCATCTAGGCCTTCAGGGGAGGCCTAATGATTTATTTGGCTGCACGACTGGTAGGCTGACCAGTGTTTTTCAGTCAAATGAAATAGAAAACAGTGGCAGCTCTATGGCAGGGCTTTTTACTGAAAGTGTAACTGTAAAACTACTACTAGGTAAAATATATGTTTATATATGTTACAAGCAGCAAATGTCCACATTCAATGTAGAACAGCCAAAAAATATTCATGTGAATCTCTGTTAGTTTCATGCTAACATACTACTAGAATAGGGGTGCTAGCAGAAATAGGCATTATGGGTGAAGTGGGGTTTTTTCCTCATTTTTGATGGTGTTTTGACATTTAGGGCTCAAACTGAAGGCCTACGTCTAATAGTCACAGCTCATCACTGGTCTGTACTATGGTCTGAACCTTGTAAAGCTTATTTGTAAAGCTGTAATTTGTAGTTGCTTAAAAGCTGATGTGAGATAATGCCTGTTGTAAAAACTGTTATGTAAACAAAACTGATTCCCATCATCACTGCATGAGTATGACACAACAATTATCAAGTACAGCAATTTCATAACATCACATGTGCCAATTCATAAAAATGAATGTTGACCAATTTTAATACACACGTATGTTCCAAAATTTGGATCAAGAGAATACATTAAAATCTATATAAGGTTCTTCCAGCCAACAGAATAATTCACGAAAATACACAAGTTACGAGTTTCTAGATGTTTCATAAAATGACTTATTAGATTTCTCATTACGCAACACTGTTTTAAGTGGCATATTTGTACCTACGTCCAGTCTTCTTCTCATCAGCACTCTCAGAGATTGAGTTGTTTACGCATACAGATAATCCTTCATAACTCCTTCATTCAGTTGATGGATTAATACTGTCTACATCTCAGTCTAATCAGCACAGGCCTGAACATTCAGGTAAACACAAACAAATTTAAATGATCAACTATGTAGTATGTAAGTTCAATGTGATACATTGTTTACCTTGATACATGGTTCCATTTTGTTATTCTAAAATAAATGGAAAAATCTGTTTTCATTTTAGGAATAAATATGAAGTGATGTGGTGAGAATTACTGTAACTGTACATGCAACAACAACGTCTATAACGCTGTAACACTATACACGTGTAGAGCACCTGGACTAGTAGCGCACCCGGACAGGCACATGGCCGTGTGAGACAATCCTTAAATCCACAAAGAAGTGTCTGACTGGTGTGTGTTTAAGAAGAGATACATCTGCAGTAGGAATATCCTAAATCATGCTCTTGAGACATATAGGCTATTTTCCTCATTTTCACATAGTGCTAAGAAAATGCATTGAACTCTAGGCTTATTGTTAAGTTATTAAACGTAATACTTACTATTTAATTACTATGAATTATTCTGTATTTATAGTGAGAAAGTATTTAGATTCTATAGTTCTGAGAGAGAGGAACTGAAGTGTGAATCCAAATACAGCCCCGTTAGAGTTTAAGTAATGCCTTTTACAAGGTATTAATTCCTGTGATGTAGTAAATAGTGTGCATATCACATAATTAGATCTGCAAATACACATTCATCTTGAGTAACACAGTAAAAGTAGAGTAAAGCACTACATCAATAAAATGAACAAGCACTACACCTGCTCATCCAACATTCCTTCTAATCAAGGGTATTAATAGGGATTTTGTCTATCTTTGCTGCAATAACAACTTCTACTCTTCTGGGAAGGCTTTACACTAGATATTAGAACATTGCTGTGGGGATTTGATCGCATTCAGCCACAAGACCATTAGTGAGGCTAGCTACTGATGTTGGATGACCAGTTCTGAATCACAGACATCACTCCAACTCAAACATATTGGATGGAGCTCCGTCACTCCAGAGAAGTCCTGCTGCTCCAATGCTGGGGGTTTTATTTCTCTCTAGCTGATGCTCCATAATGTCCTCTTCCATTGGTAGTGCTTTTCTATGGAGTTTTTGAGAAGCTGTGTGTATGCAGTTGAATACTTTAGTGCACTTTAAAGAAGCTGAATTCACTAATTAAAAGGCGTGACCAAATACGTTTGTGCATGTAGTGCACATTAAAGTATAACCATTACTAGAGTGATTACAACCATCTCAATAAATAATAACCGTGATGTTGGTTTAAAACTCTGAGGATAGGAGAACACCCATTTTAAGGGTTTATACACAAGACACTACCCTAGAAGTCCAGGTATGATATGCATATATATTCTACTAACAGACAACATTATTCACCTTGTCTACAGTTACCATTAGGTGGTGCCATTGTTTCACTTCAGAAACTCTCAGGTCCTTCTCAACCACTTAAAGCACATCTTAGTTCAGTATGACTCAGAGTAAAAGGTATAAACTGTACCAAAAACTAGCCATACAACAGCACTATCACATGATTGGAGGAGAACTAGTACCCTGAGAATTTGCTATAGTAGTGGACTGTAAAGTTTCATAGAAAACAGCAAAATTCTGTTTTTATGGCAGGTAACCACACCATCTATGGTGTTGAAAAAATCTAGACAAAGTAACCATTGCAGTTATATTGCAATGATTACAGTTGGCTTGTATGCTTAAGATTCCAGTGGTCGTGGTTTATTTTATCTCTAAATGAGCTCACCTGGACTGGCATGACTGGCATGACTGGCATGACAAGGTGGATTCTTTGTCTCCGAAAAATTCATACAATGGTAAATAAATCTGAACAAAGAACAGACACTGGCTGTATCAGTAATTTTCAACTGCAGGATATTTGAACCTTGCAAACACGACAGCTTCTACTCATGGCCTGGTGTGAACTTTTGCAAACTCTGCCATCTGGATTTGGGATAACTTCACTATGGACTTGAGAAGAGCCAAGGAGCCATTGGTTGTGCACGTGAGACACAAAAGAGGAAAGCAGTCAATCTTACCCCATCATATGGCTGTAATGAATTGATTTGCTTGAAGAAAACACCTGGCTTCTATATGAAACATCCTCCCCTACCAGGTTAGAAAAAACATTTAGTTAGAAAATTTTGGGATTACATTTAAGTATTTGGCAGATGCTCTTATCCGGAGCAACTTCCAGTTCACTTGTGAGGTGGTGAATGTAGTATTAAGAGTCTTGGCCAAGGCCAAGCAGGGGAATAGAACCTTGGACTGTGGCATGGAAGATAGTAGTTTTATCTACTACACTGTACCATCCGCTATAGAGTCAAATACATGAACTTAAGAGCATATGCAGAGCATAAACTGCATGACTGCATGTGGGCTGCCAGCCCCGACATTTATACCTTTTATACCTCACATATATAAAAAAAATGTAGTTTTAATACATGCAGTGAAAAAAGCATTAACCAGTGTTACAATGCTTTAAAAATTTAATGTTGCTGCCGGCTCAGAACTGTGTGGGTGTGTCGGATCGCCTAGTGATTGACAGTGGCATCTCCCTGGCAACAGAAACAACTCAGCACCAGTGGCAGTGGTAGGCAACAATCAGTATGCTTTAGCCTCATACAACAATTTTAAAAAACAAGAGCCAACCTTCATGAAAACAAGAGTCTCTGAGTGGTGCGTAAAAAGTGCAAAATGCAGATCAAGCTGTTAAATGATAATTTTGGAAATGTAATTACATTGCAGGTAATGTTTGACAACTATGACTTTCATCCTATGACGAGTAGATCGTGGACATATTGCGTCCAATATTTAACGCTATGCACTAATGTTCAAAACTGAGGTCACATAAGCTCCCTAATAAGTCAGCACTGTCATATTTGTGTGCCTTATTGTGCACCATGCCTGTAAAGTACACTCTCAAAAAAAAGACACTTAACTGTACCAGGGAGGTACCCTTAAGGGTACATCTTTTATTACATTTAGTTAGGGATCACAGCGGTGCTATATACCACTGAAATTATATTTTTAAAAGTTGTATTGACTGTATTGGACCTTCAAACTATTGTTATACCTCTGAGGGTACATTTACACTGTTTGTACCTTGATGAATGAAAATTATACCTGCTCAGTATCCTTTTTTCTGACAGTATACAATTGCAGGGAAGCACTGTGGGCCTTGATGTTAGTGGGGGAAGGGGTAGCTAACATAACACTAAGCTAATGTATAATTTTATGTGTCTTACTATAAGTGAAATGAATTGCGTATGGTAAGACTCCACAACAAGTGGCTAATGCAAGTAGGAAGTAACATCTAGCTACACTACAAACAATAAAACCTTCATAAGAAGCACCGTTAACAAATTCAGCACAGCTGAAATGAACTACTTGCTGAGAATTTTGGCTGGGACTCATCAGGAGAGCAGCCAAAATTGGAGGAGAAATTGGGAGAAGAACGCAAGTGGCTGACATATACATACTGCTAACACTCATAGGTACTTATGCAGATCTGACATAACCTACGCCAAAGTTAGTCCCACCTTATTCAAATCCAATCATTCTTTCTCTGTCAGTTCATAGTAAAAATGTCACAGAACTGTTACTGACAAACAGGATGGGAACACAGTCAACAGGCAAGAAAGAGGGTTTGAAGTAGAGGATGAGCGCTTTTGGGAATAGAGTTGGGTACAGTGATTCTTAGGAAGTGAAATCATACAGATTGCTTGGAAAAGGGTTGATACAGGCAAAAAGGGAGTAGTAGTGTGGATTACAGCACCATCAACAGGCTTGATAAGGAACTTTTTGAACAGCTCATCTTGAACATGAAAGCGTAGGGGCTGGTGGCTTTGAGCAATACTTTCGTTCCTGGCTCAGATATAAGGCATGGTGTATGCCACACAAGAATCCGTATATCATGTTGAGCCCAGTCAACATTAGCCAGGGCACAAATAATAAAGAGGCTAGGCAGAGAGCACAATAGCTAAAAAAAATCCTTCAAGACAGTACAAACAGGAGACTAGTGTACTCAAGATGAAATCACACTGTTGTTGGTTTTAGTGATTTATCCCTTGTTGACTTTACTGAACAAATGCATGTATGTGAGTGAAACTAGCAAAGAAATACAGTAAGCCTTTCAAGTTTATTTGATAAGTGTCAGTTTGGTCAGTTCCTTTGGTCAGTAACCTCACAGAGTAGGACTCACATCTTTCCATTTGGCTCCTAGCTTTAGCAACTTGCATATAAGACATTTCTGTAGCCTGTTTTAGTTTCCATCTGTGTGTTGTCCTCCCCTTGTATATCGCTGTTGTCTCTAAAATGGTAACTTTACAGGAGAAGGAAAAAACATAATTTACTTTCAATTTAGGTCAATGGAACCAAACTTTTGTCCAAGTAATTCTGGGCCCTTTTGGTCCATTCATCATGAAATTTATATATAAAGAGCAACAGGCATTTTCAGATTATGCCAAAAACTGAAAAACAACAAAAATGGAGATACAAGTTTTTGTTCCAACAACAGCGATGTATAATGAAAATATATTTTAGTAACTACAATATATTTTGTATATGTAAATATATTTTCTTTTTATTTCTTTCTATTATTGTTTTTATTTGCATTGCATATATTTACTAAATACTTTTTTTCTATAAATAAAACATGGTTGAAAAAATCATATTATGTTAAATGAATGTATGCAAAATACATATGCTACCATTTAAATTTTGGAATGACTTGCCATATCAACAGTTGAGTTTTTTATACAGTACATGCTAAAGTCATAAACCTTCCAGTTATTAAAAGATACTGAGAAAATGAGACTCCTAACAAGCATGCATGACGTGGTAGACCACCAAAACTGTCCCCATCAGATAAACCAGAGATTTCATCTTAGAGAGAGAGGAGAAAAATTTGATATCTGATTGGCCATCCAAAATGCCACCCCCAGCTTTCTGCCACGTCATTGGCTTGCACCTGGCTGTGCGGCTGGTGTTTGTGCCTTTAAGAGGAGACTTGTTTTGCTATCGGTAATTAGCAGAAGAACTGTCCAACCTGTCTCCGAACGCACCCCTCCCCCTCGCACATTCACATTGCCACCTGCCGGAACACCCTGCCACTCCTTTGCCACTTTCTAGATCCATCTTTAGTACCTTTAGGTGGGGAACTATTATACCAGGATCCATTGAAATAACACACACTGTCTTTACTCCAGGCTTCTGGTTTTATTTTTCTTTTTAAAACATTAGGTTATGAAATGGTGCAAATATGTACTTTTCCCCTAAGAAAAAAGTGTTTAAAGTACCCACCTAGACTTTAATACCACTGTACCTTTGAAAGTACTTTTACATTGTACCTTGATAAACAAATAATCTACTTGCACTGTACCTTTTCTCTGACAGTGTATACTGTAGTTATCTATTTACACACTTTTTTGGTCACATTATCCACCTGGACATTTGCTCTTCACTTTTGAAATATAATTAATTCTGGTTATAAATAAGTAAAACTTAATGATATATGACTACTCAGCTCAGAATCATCTACTTGTTTATACTGAACACATCTAAAATGTATTCTTTTTTATTCGTAGTTTTTGTGGCCTGCTAATTTAACCTACTTATTAGAAGGCAATGAAGTGTCAAAGGACTATCATAATAGAATCATTTTAGATTCAGGAATGCTCCCTGTTTCAGCTCCTGCAAGAAAAACTTACAATATTTCTACCCTGAATTGAACTTTCTATCCCATAATACTTGTTGCAATCTTATGTAGAAAAGATGTACTTATATTATGCAGCAGCACAAAGATTATGTTATGCATAACTTGGAAGATCTATGGTTGGAAAGATGTAAAATGAAACAAATCAATCAAATTGTATCACTAAACTTTGTAAGGGCATGGTCGAGTTTGCAGCGTCCCAACCCCATGTTTCTTGAAAGCAACGGTCTGTCAAAACAGGTTTTCTTTGTTTGAACATGTTTGATTTAGAGTTACACAATAAAGCCACTTCCTGCTTTAGCTTTACCAAGAAATGAAACTTAAGCCAGCTCTGCGCTCTGATAGGACACTGGTGATTCCATATAAAAGAGATACTGTGACATAATCTTCTGGTTGCTCTGGAGGTAAGATACAATCTTTTTCAGAAACATTTAGAGACTTTTGCAATAATAGTTTATGCTGTAGCTTTGATTTAAGTTACTAGGCAGTTGTGCTTAAGTTCTAACCGTCTCTTTTCACAGCTCTCCAAAAATGATGGCATCTAGATATACTTTTTGTGCTGTTTGGTCACTTCTGTTCCTTCATGTCTCTGCACAGGGTTGGAGTCTATTTGGTTAGTATATCATTATGTATGCATTGCATAGAATTTCTGCATAAAAGGATTGAACCTTTGCAACTTTTAGGAACTTTTTATCAATAAGAACATCTTTTTTACTGTGAAGCAGTGAGATATTTTTCATAGAAAGAATTATGCGCTGCTTGTACTGCACTTTTCTACATTTTGCTTCTTTAATATCTTAATTGTTATTTAATTTGAAGTGCATCATATCATTCTGCAGATGTGCAGCCAAAGAGACAACCACAAGAGGGAGGATTGAGGCTGGTGGGTGGTGACCTGCCCTCTGCAGGACGTGTGGAAGTGTATCATGATGGGGAGTGGGGAACAGTGTGTGATGATAACTGGGAAATTACTCAGGCACAGGTGGTATGCCGACAGCTGGGTTTCCCAGGAGCTGTCTCAGCCACTGTGGGAGGAACAAATGGGGAAGGTAAGTTCCAGAAAACTTGAATATGCAGAAAAGCATTGAATTCTACTTGGCCCTATGTGAACTTACCATCATTAATATAAATGGCCCTATGTTACTGGTCTTTTTCAGGCTCTGGACATATTTGGCTCGATGATGTAAGCTGCACGGGATCAGAGAGTTCTTTGTCCACTTGTCGTTTTAAAGGCTGGGGTATAACTGACTGTTCCCACAAAGAGGACGCAGGGGTAGTTTGTGAAAGCGGTAAGCTCTTTAATGCAATAATGTACACTATGCGTCCAAAAGTTTGTAGACATCTGCTCTTTCAAAGTCTTGCCTGAAATCAAGAGTATTAATTAGGACGTTGTTTTGGGAATTTGATTGCATAACAATAACCACTTTTCCAAAAACTCAAAGTGCTTTATAGAAAATACACAAATTCATACCAAAACAAAACAATTTCCAGCTTGTTGCATTACATGTCCAAAAATGTGTAAACACCTGCTTATTAATACCCCTAAAATTAAGGATATTAATATGGGATTTGCCTTTCATTTGCTGCAACAACAGCCTCTACTTTTCTGGAAAGGTTTTAGACTAGATCAACATTCCTCAAATCCAGTCCTGGAGGGCCAATGTCCAGCACTATTTGGTGATTAACCTTCTCAAACTCACAAAACCTGGGAATAACAGATGAGTTAAATCAGATGTGTTTGAGCAGGATTTTCACCAAACTGTGCTGGACCTCCAGGCCCCCCACGACCGGATTTGAGGAACCCTGCACTAGAAGTTGGAACATTGTGAGGATTTGGTTGCGTTCAGCTACAACAGCATTAGTGAGGTCATATACTGATGTTGGATGACTAGTTCTGAATCACAAATGCCAAAAGCATTAGATGAAGCGCCATCATTCCAGAGAACATAGGCCCAAATGCTTCACAGACTGCTGGCTTTATGCCCCTCTAGCTAATGTTTGGTGTTGGTTATGGCAATCTTGGTTTCATTTGCGGCTGCTCCAGAGCGTGCCATTATAATTGCAATGCATTTCTATGGAGAATACACAAGCTGTGTGCATGCAATTGATGCCTGTTTGGCATCACGTTTGAAAATAAAGTGTATATGTGCAGAATTTCAGTCTTAAAGGTGCATTCACCTGGATTGAACAAGTGTTTGTTGATAATACATACCATTTTTTTGCGTGAAAATGGGTTGGCAGGCAACATTATCTGCTTTAACGCAATTCATTTAATTGCAGGCAAAAGTGTGGACAGTGGCCATACGTTTTCATTGGACCACAGCCTGGGCTTGTCTGAAGAACTTGGCTCACTTTTTGATAGCGGAGAGAACTGCGATTTCAGCATTCTGATCAGTGACCCCAGTGACGAGCAATTTGCAGCGCAAACGATCTGCGCCCACAGGTTGATCCTCTCGCTCTACCCTCAGCTCAATATCACCTCCACAACTCTCTCTGTTGAGATCAGCCAGACCTGCCACCCCTTTGTCTCTAGATTCTTCAGGTAAAAGTTCTACTAATTGCATAGACCCACTTACTGGCAGTTATGATGCATTATGACCGCATGACATTTTTCTTCCAGGTATCTGTACACACGCAAGATTGACATCACCCTCTCATCAGCTCAGTGCCTGCACCAGTTATCCTACATGTTTGAGTTGAAGCAGCTTAAGGAGGAAGTAGGCAGGGTCTTCACTATGCTCCTACCTCAGGATAAGACCTTCCACACTCAAGTGTCCCTGTATGAGTACGGTGTCCGCACGATGGACCTGCTCCTACAGGAGAACGTTCTGCAGTATCTCTCCTGGAACTTTGAGTTCCTCATCATTACACCAGTATGGAAAACTATTTCTGTACACATGATGGAAGCTCTGCTGTCTCGTTCTGACCTGGTGGTGCTGGATGAGGCTATTGTTCTTGAGGCACTGCAGGTCTGGCTCAAAGAGAGAAAAGATATAATAAGTCCAGAGAAGAAAGTCGACCTGCTGAAGCAGATTCGTTTCCCCATGATTCCAGTGGAAAAGCTCTATGATTTTCAGTTCAACTCAAATATATACCAGAGCAATGAAGCATTTTATAGTAGTGCTTTTTTGAAAGCCTTCCAGTTCAACACTCTGCCTTTCTCAAAGATCTGGGAGCATTTTAATAACACTGAAGGCTATTTGCCCAGGATCTACACTGCTGACCCATGGGGCATGGTCCTTAATTACACTTCCATTAGTAACTATGGTTATCGTTATCAATATCATGGTGGCTTTTACAGTTCCGAAAGGACAAGGTCATTCACGACTCCTGTACACAACAGCATGATTTTCAAACAGCAAACAATCAATTGGCAAGCACAGGTTTTATTGTACAGTGGCGAATGCTCCAATCAAGGTTTCACCTGTAACTCTCTCCCTCTGGCAAGGCTCTTTAGTTATGACAGTCAGTATACTTCTCAAAGAACCGTTCGCTTCAGCAACAGGGTGATTCTCACATGCAAGACTGAAAACACTGTGTTTCACGTCCAAGACTTCAAAACTGGCAAGGCAGAAATCCCAACCAACAGCAGTATGGGTCTGCCCAATCCCTGCCCTGACAACTACTTCTTTACTTTTGTTGTGCGTCCAGAGTACATCTGATTACATTCTCTTGCGCACTAACAGGTCTCTAATATTTTGTTTCCATTTTATTTTCTACTGAACCAATCCTAGACCATTTGAAACTTTAGAAATCATGTAGATGATAAAGAAAATTATGCCCTTTAGTATTGTAGTTGACATTGCAATATGAAAAACTTTGTACAACTTTTAAAAAATAAACAATAATAAACATATTATATACACATTTCTCTGCTTATTGTTGTTGAAGTCTTGCAAATCAAAGAAAATACTTCATATTCACAACCACCATGTGTATTCATGTTTAGGTAAACAATAATAGCTTAAACAGCTTAAATTCTGTAAGCTTAAAAAGTTTATCTTACTTGTGGAGGTATGTGAGTAAATTTGCTTCTTTGCACTGTTGTTCACTATTAGTGGAAAATGGAGTGAAATACACCCTTAAGAACAATGTCCAATTACTAAAGCTACATCATGTCTGTACATTAATTTTAACATATAGAGGATGATGATGCACAAACCTACACAGTTACGGAAAAGGAAAACTGGAACAGTGGACAATAATGTTTTATTGCATCAAAAAGTAAAGATAATCTTTAAAAGAGGTAAGAAGGCCCCCTTTGTGAATATTGCATCAATGTTTTTTTTTCTTTAAGAATAAACATAATTAAAAGGAAACTGAAATGTTTGTAAGAATGTTGTGCCATATAAAGTGCTCTAGACCTGAATCCCAAGTCTTCTAGTCCTGAAGACCTCAGTAGACAGTTTCATATTCCTGTTTTCAGAAAAACGCTGATTTGTAGAATCACTTCTCTTTTCTGATGTTTGTCACCACTGAGAGTTTCAGCACAGCACTGAGGTCACGGTCTAGCTGCTGACAGTTTTGTTTTATTAAATACTGGCATATACAGTATTTCCTACATTAACCCCTTGACTTGTATGAATTGGTCAGCAGGTCACGCTCCCAATCCTTATTACTATAGATTAAGAATAGTTCACTCATTCTCTATTTTTTTCTATGTCGTTACTGAATAATAGGCTTTAAGTTAAAGAATTACAGAGGAGTGTAAGGGGCTGACATATAGACATGTTATATCCTAAAGAGGAAAACTAAATTGTGATGATTTGTATATTTTTGTCAGCTATTAGATGTATATAGTAAGTATTGAGTTCTCAGGGGCAATTTGATATTAAATGAAAGGGGAAAATAAATATACACAGGAGTGAGGTACACAGGACACATTTAACTCATCAGACACAGCAGTGCTGCTGGAGTTTTTAAACACCTTAGTGTCACTACTGGGCTGAGGATAGCCCACCAACCAAACATATCCAGCCAACAGCATCCTGTGACCACTAATGAAGGACTAGAGGATGACCAACACAAACTGTGCAGCAGCAGATGAGCTATAGTCTCTGACTTTACATCTACAAGGTGAACTGACAAGGTAGGAGTGTCTAATAGAGTGGACAGTGAGTGGACACAGTGTTTAAAAACTCCAGCAGCACTGCTGTGTCTGATCCACTCGTACTAGCACAACACCCACTAACACACCACCACCACGTCAGTGTTACTGCAGTGCTGAGAATGATCCACCACCCAAATAGGACCTGCTCTGTGAGGGTCCATGAGGGGCCTTACCACTAAAGAACAGTGTAAAAGGGGGCTAAATATATATATATATATATATATATATGTATATGTGTGTGTGTGTGTGTGTGTGTGTGTGTGTGTGTGCATGTGTGAGTGTGTATGTACATAGATATATTTAGTTGTTGTTGGAAGAAAACCTCGTATCTCCATTTTTGACGTTTTTCAGTTTTTGATATAATTTCAAGATTGCTGTCCTTTACATTGTATGTAAATTTTAATATAAATGGACTAAAAGAAATGACCCAAAATGACTTGGAAAAAAGTTCCATTGACTTACATTAAAAGTAAAGTATGTTTTTTCCTTCTCCTGTAAAGTTACCATTTTGGAGATACCAGGTTTTCTTCCGACAACAGCGATATACATATAATTATGTTTTACTTTCTACCCTAACCTGAAAACCATTATTCTCCCTAGAACCCAAAAGCGTTATCTTTTTTACAGTAAGTAATCACTGTGTCACTGTGCACACAATGAATGACTGCAGAGCATGGTCAGTAATACTGGTTGGGAAATAGTGGAGGCCAAGGTGGTGTGTCATCTGCGGGGCTTCTCTGGAGCTGTTTTAGTCACCACGAAGGAATGAACAGGGATGAAAGTTTCCAGACTTCTACATACACCAAGTTATATTTCATCATATTTTATATTGTATCAATTATTATGATTTGAAAATTCATCTCAGTGTTTTAGTGTTGCTGCATATTGTCTCAAAAAGGAAGCAGGGCTTATGTGTGAGATTGGTTGGCCCCCTACTGGAACAATATGGAGCTGCATTTTTCAACAGTTATTTACTATGCAATCTTTTGAGAAAATGTTGAATCTACTGTGAAAATGTATTGTATTCTTACAAATACAGAAGCATTGAGTTGTCATTAAAACACAGTTTGTCAAACGCAGGTTAATATTTATAATAACAGGGAATGCTTTGAGCATGGTACTTGGCTGTGGTGAATAACTTCAATTACAGCCAATTGCTATTTCTCACACGTAGGCGTAAAAACATATTTTCCTGTCTAAGGCAAGGCCATGACGCAGCGCTGTGCTCTCTCCAGTACAACCCCAGACAAGAGTAACTTTGTAGTATTAGTAGTGTGCCTTTGACTCTATGCTTCTAATAGGTGTCCTCTGGCACTTTGATTCCAGTAAGAATATTTATTTTTATTTGTTCAAACGGGTATTTCTCAGTTTCTTGCCCTACAATCCTAGAATTTATCCATTAGAGGAACTAAAACATAATGAATAAATATAGTGAACTTTGTGTAACTGTTTAGGTATAAAGGTGGAATTTTCACAAGCATATCTTGTTCAATTCCATTAAGATATTATACTTTTAGAATATCTGTGCCACAGTTTGTTTGTAAGTATTCTAAAGCACCGTTCCCCAACCCTAGTCCTAAAGGCCCACTGCCCTGCACATTTTAGATTTTTCCCTGCTGTTAACACACCTGATGCAACTAATCAGCTCATCGACAACCACTTACTGGGTTGAAGTGGGTGTGTTAAAGCGGTGAAAGCACTAAAATGTACCAGGTAGGGGGACTGGGAATACTGTTCTAAAGTGTTAGTGTGCAAAAATGCTCTCTCCTTGCTTTATAGCTATACTAGAAATTTTGTCTTTAGTAGGATTTTTAGAGTTTTAATCAATATAATGAATGCAATCGCCCCAACTGTTGAGACATACCAAACAAAAAAATCTGTACAATTTGATATGAAATGCTGAATTGCAAAGAAATTGACTAACCAGGGTTCACAATGTCTACAACACAAACACAGCCATTTTATTCTTTATTCAAAATGACTAGTGAGTCCACACGTCTCTTCTTCTTCTGCATGTCTTTTTTATGAGCGAAATAGTCAGAAATCTAGTAGTAAAGTAGTAAAAACTGTGCATCAGGTATCATTTTGTATCATAACATATTTTTCAGAATCGGACGTTTGGTTCCTGTCACCACCACTGTGAACAATTCTGACTCCAAGTTTTTCTAGAATGGTGCATTTCAAATCAGACCACTCTAAATTTACCAAACTTTTTAAGTCTGAAGAATTTAACTATACGTGCCAGCCCTTAAGATTACATAGACTGCAAACCTGTGTAAGTTATCATCCATAAGGATCAGTTCAGGTATCAATACTATTAGGCTTTGGTTTAAAACATGGGACAATTTTTATTTCAAAATCTCAAAAAGACAATATTTCAAAAAGACATCTCAGTGTATGAAAAGTTCATTGCCTTCCATTTCGCAGTGATGTTGTTGTGAACGTCACAATTATGTGAACTGTACGTATGTGCATCAGTGATTCAAAATCTATGAGCTGTGATTGAATAACTATATGCATTTCACCATTACTGACGTAAGTCTTAGGGTCAAAACATCAAGCCTGGTCTTGCACAATATCACTTACCAATGTCTGACCACATTTGCTACATATCTTTCTGTGGTTTCATCAGGGATAAGATTACAATAGAGTGCTTGAAGCAAGTCTGCTTAGACCTGACCTGAAAGATTTCAAGGAGGTGGATTAGCCTATTGTGAACAGTGACTGAATCCAATGAAATATGATTCATTTTTAAGGCAGAAAAGAGATGAATAAGATAAGAAAAGACAAGCATGAAAATGAAAGCCTGTTTTCATTGTACTCTATTTTTTGTTTATTCTTGTTCTGACACATACACTGACCATCACCTTTTCACGCCTCAACATGTTTGATGTCTCACCACAATTGTAAAATCCAATGTTAGGTCTCTCATCAACAATACAATCACACCACGCTTGCACAACAATGTTCTCTCCTTCATGGGGAAAACTCTTTCTTCTGTTTTGATTACATGAGGTAATCATGTTTCTTCATACCAAATGTGGTGTCTAACTTTAAGTGATCCCCGACATGCAACAGTCCAGTTAGAGCCTGAGTGTATTACTTTCACTGTACTGTAATATTATTGCCTAAGCAGTGACCTACTCATGAATAACTCTGTGACTCAAGCTCGTGTAACCAGCCAGTCCTTCCATCTCAGACGGTAGCTTTTCCAGCTAATACTTGAATTAGCCCTTTTATTTAGTTGTTTAAACCCAAATAATAGCCAAAGATGGGTGGAGCAGAGCAGGAAGTGTCCATTAAAAAAAAAACAACTAAGATGAGGAATTAAATAGAAAACAATTTCTGTGGTCACTTGTACTTTTACAATGGCTAAATCAAGAGTGATCTCAGATCCACCTGTCATCCTCTAAATGACAATTCCCACAAATTTTGAGTAGTTAAAATGAAGTTTCCAAAGGGGCTGGCTATGATCTAGTTAGCAGTATATGAAGAAATGAATGCTTGTATGCCAGAAAACCATGTTTCAGTGCCTTATAATTTCCAGTACTTGGTTTTGTGATTTGGTTTTCCTTCTTACTTTTTCGCCCCCAGTTTCATTCAAAATCAAATCCAGTCACAGCCAGAGATTCTGAAGCATTCTTCTGCCGGGAAGTCACTGAGTTCTGTTAGTGTGTACAGTGACGGGCAGATCACAAGTGTCTGGAAACCTCGAGAAAAAGAAATACAACATCATGGCTGATAAGATCAAACAGGA